TGCAGTAACATTTCTATGCTGTGCCCCACATCCCGAAGCTGTCCTGCTCCAACGCACACATCATGGAGCACTTCACCTGTGCAGCTGTGCTCATCACCTCAACCAAGCTCCTCATTCTCATCTACATCTGCATCACAGTTGCCATCCACAAGATCTAAGTCCAAAGGCAGGCAAAAGCCTTCTCCACTTCTGCTTCCCACCTGATTCCTGCTGCCATGTTTTATGGAACAGGCTTCTTCACGTACACACAGTTCACCGTTCACTATGGAGCACAATAATTATTGCTTCATTTATGCTCTGGTGATTCCTGTGTTCAATCCTATGATGTACAGTCTGAGGAACAGGGAGAACTATCAGTTCCCTCCTCTAAGTGGATGAGCAGGAGAGGGCCAGCATGGGAGGGATATCACAGTAATATTGGCCAACTTCATTAGAATCACAAAAGAGAGTGTAAAAATCAAAGATGACATCAAGCAGTGACAGGCCGAGCGGAATGGCTTTATCCTGCCCGAGGGGAGTCTGAGATGAGCTCTTAGGCAGAAGCTCTTCCCTGGGAGGGTGCTGAGGCGCTGGCACAGGGTGCCCAGAGAAGCTGTGGCTGCCCCATCCCTGGCAGTGTTCAAGGCCAGGTTGGACACAGGGGCTTGGAGCAAGCTGCTCTAGTGGAAGGTGTCCCTGCCCGTGGCAGGGGTTGGAACTGGATGATCTTAAGCTCCTTTCCAACAAAAACCAGTCTGTCACTCTGTTAAGCTTTAGGCCTCTGGTGTCAGGGTCCCTCAGGGGAGGAAGGAAACAGTGGTTAACAGGAGAGCAGAGCTGGGTACAGCCCTTCCCCTGCTCCCAGCCCTGCCGCTCACTCCTCAGCCGCACAAGCAGCACACGCCGGAACCACAAAGCAGCCCCCACCGCGAAGACACCCCCTCCGCGGACAGGACAAAGGAACCACCACAGTAGCTGGCCCCGTTACCAGCCCAGCCACCAGGGCCAGGCCGCAGCGAGGTAGCTGAGGCCCGGGACGGAGCTTACACACCGCTGGGGGGCCGAGCGGCGGCCGGGCCTCCAGGACTACCCCCGGCGGCCCGGTCTGGAGTTGGCGTTGCCGCCGCGCGGGCGACAGGGGGCGCTGCGGACGCTGACTCTCGCAACTGAGCCAATCGGAGCGCTTCCTGAGCAGGGCAGGGCGCCACTGCCGCGGAGCACGCTGGGAGTTGTAGTCCCGGCACCTGCCGCTTCTACACGGGTTAACGCTTCCATGGACGGTGCCTGCAGCCCTGCCCTGGGCAGCCCCTTCCAATGCCTGAGCACCCTCTGGGGCAGGAATTGTTCCTCAGCTCCATCTAAACCTGCCCTGGGGCAGCTTGAGGCCGTTTCCTCTTGTCCCATCCCCTGTTCCTTGGGAGCAGAGCCGAGCCCCTCCTGGCTCCATCCTCCTCTCAGGCACTTGGGGGCAGCCATCGGGTCCCCCCCGAGCCTTCTCTTCTCCACACTGAACCCCCCAGGTCCCTCAGTCGTTCCCCATCACACTTGGGCTCCAGGCCCTCCTTATCCCACAACTGCAGGTACAGTCAAAGAAGCAAAAGCTTTTCATTCAACCTCCCATTACAATGTCCATGCCTGATCTGAATGCTCCAGTCTTCCTCTCACCATAGGTGGCTGCTCCCTGGGTTTAGAGGAACTGTTCTGCATTCCAGCAGGGCACGGTAAGATAAAGATGAAGGTAAAGGAGTGTCCCAAGCTTCTGTCTTCTCCCACTTCACCAAGGTAGCTTGGCAATGGCTTGGGGCTCTAACACTGAGTAAGGACACAAGGAAAAAATCACAGCCAGAAGAATGAAGGAAGCAAACCACTGAAAACAATGCACAAAGAAAACGAGGAAGAGCATCTTGCATTTGTTGATCTTTCCTAAGGTTCACTGACTGCAGAGTTTCCTGCATGTAGGCTAAGAAACAACATAGCTTTGGCAAATTATCTTACTCACTCCGTGTGGGGCCTCTGTTCTCAGCTTGTACCTCGAATATATACCACATGAGTTAACTTTGCATGTCCCAGGCACGTATATATGTGTGGTTTGGGGCTGAGTCACCAGGATATTTAAGTAAGTTGCTAAGTATGTACAGTATTTGTTTGTAAGAGTTTGCCGATGGCACCGAGCTGTGTGGTTCGGTTGATACGCTGGAGGGAAGGAATGCCATCCAGAGGGACCTCGACACGCTTGTGAGGTGGGCTGATGTCAACCTCATGAAGTTTAACCATGCCAAGTGCAAGGTCCTGCACCTGGGTCGGAGCAATCCAGGCACAGCTACAGGTTGGGCAGAGAAGAGATTCAGAGCAGCCCTGTGGAGAAGGACTTGGGGGTGTTGGTCGATGAGAAAATGAACATGAGCCGGCTTCAGTGTGCACTCCCAGCCCAGAAAGCCAACCGTGTCCTGGGCTGCATCAAAGGGAGCATGACCAGCAGGTCGAAGGAGGTGATCCTGCCCCTCTACTCTGCTCTTGTGAGACCTCACCTGCAGTATTGTGTGCAGTTCTGGTGTCCTCAACATAAAAAGGACATGGAGCTGTTGGACCAAGTCCAGAGGAGGCCACGAGGATGATCAGGGGACTGGAGCACCTCCCGTATGAAGACAGGCTGAGAAAGTTGGGGCTGTTCAGCCTGGAGAAGAGAAGGCTGCATGGAGACCTCACAGCAGCCTTCCAGTATCTGAAGGGGGCCTATAGGGATGCTGGGGAGGGACTCTTCATTAGGGACTGTAGTGACAGGACAAGGGGTAATGGGTTAAAACTTAAACAGGGGAAGTTTAGGTTGGATATAAGGAAGAAGTTCTTTACTGAAAGGGTGCTGAGGGGCTGGCACAGGTTACCCAAGGAAGTGGTGAATGCTCCATCCCTGGCGGTGTTCAAGGCCAGGTTGGACAGAGCCTTGGGTGACATGGTTTAGCGTGAGGTGTTCCTGCCCATGTCAGGGGGGTTGGAACTGGATGATCTTAAGGTCCTTTCCAACCCAAACCATTCTATGATTCTATACTGTATCCAGACATCAATGCACTACAACAGTGTGTACGTGCTTTGTAACACTGTGACGCTGCTGATACCCTACCCATCAACACACCTTTTGTAACACAATTAAGCAGGAATAACCAATTAAGCTATGAGAAGGGAAATGAAGGCTTGTGGTATAAAGGCAGAAACAGATTATGGGAAAACATACACAAGTAGTAAAGTCTTTAAGGTAAAACACAGGAGGAGAAGCATGAAAGGTGTCTGAGGAGAGCAGAACAAGCAGGAAGGATTCGTGATGAAACATGAACAAGCCTGGTCCTAAAATGCAATAAATTAGGAGGACATGAGATTCCTTTCTGTATAGAGGGTATGGCGAAGCTGGCTGCTAAGTAAGCACAGTCTTTTCCACTGTACAAAAGGCTTTCATTTCCAAGTTCAATACATACGCTCACACCCGTATGTAGGAGTTTTCTAAATTGAACTTTTCTTTAGAGCATCTTGGTTGTTGTCTCAATAAGCATAAGCTATAAAAATAGAACTTTCTTCTGCATTTGGGATAGAGGAGATGGGTTGAGAGATTTGGGGTTTTTCAGCCTGGAGAAGGGAAGCCTCGGGGGAGAACTTAGAGCAGAGGAGAAAGAGATCCTTCTGTGATGGGAGCTGTCTGACTTTGCCTTCTGTTTTGTGATACTGGGAATCACCTTGTAAGTTGACTGTTTTTTTTCCCAGCAATTACCAAATGAATCTGGGAAGTAGATCAGATGCAGGTGTTCCTAACAAGTCACCTACATTTAGTCAGGCAGTTCCCATCACTTGTGTTGCATCAGAAACACACTATCTTTTTGCTTCTAAGAAAATCACTGTGAAAACACTCTTCTCCCTACTGTCCTCCTTAGAGCATCCTTCACCTCTTTGTTCCTGAAGCTATAAATGAGGGGGCTCAGCATGGGAAAAACAAGGGTATAAAATGCAGAGATCACTTTGTCTGTGTTCATCGAGTGGCTGGAGCTGGGCTGTAAGTACGTGAAGAGGAGGGAGCCATAGAATAACCCAACAGCCATCAGGTGGGAGGTGCAGGTGTAGAAGGCTTTGTGCCTCTTGTCTGCCACATGGATCCGGAGGATGGTGCTGAGGATGCAGGTGTAGGAGGCAGCAATGGCCAGGAAGGTGCTGGTTTGTATAAAGCCACAGAGAGTGAAGAGAAGAACCTCGTTGATGTGTGTGTTGGAGCAGGAGAACTCCAGCAGCGGGGGAATATCACAGAAGAAATGGTTGATGACATTGGAGCCGCAGAATGACAATGTGAAGGTGAAAGATGTGTGCACCAGGGAAGTCAGACCCCCGCTGAGATAAACCCCAGCTACCAGGGTGGTGCAGACCCTGCGAGACATGACAACAGTGTAGACAAGAGGATGACATACAGCCACATAGCGGTCATAGGCCATCGCAGCCAAAAGGAGGCACTCGGCGTCAGCAAAGGCAGCGAAGAAAAAATCTGTGTTGCACAGCCAGTGAAAGAAATGGTCTTCTGCTGTGCTAACAGACTCACCAGCATCTTGGAAGCAATGGCAGATGAACAGATAAGGTCTAAGAAAGACAAATTGCTTAGGAAATAGTACATGGGAGTATGAAGGCAGGCATTGAGCTGGAGAAGCACGATGAGGCCAGCATTCCCCACCGAAGTGGTGATGTAGATGAGTAGGAAGAGCCCAAACAAAGGTATCTCCACCTCCAGACGGTCGGTGAAACCCAAGAGAATGAACTCTGTCAGCGTGGTGCAGTTCTCTTCAGGCATCTCATGACCCTGCGTTTGGTTCGTCAGGGGATCAATCCTAGTGGGTAGAGCAATGCACAAACACATTGTATCTTTCAGAAGACAGAAAAGTAGGCACCTCGCCAAGTATCAGAGGGGGAAACCAATCACTTAGATAATGCCCATTGAAAAGAAACTTTAGGAGGACATTCAAAGTGAGCTTTACATCAAAAGAAAGCCATGAGTGTTGTTTTTAAGCATCTGAGCACAAATACTGTTAGATTTTCCAAGCATTTTCCCCCACTTTATTTTTCACGTAAAACCAACTGAATTTGATTCAGTCCTCTATCAAATTAATTTCGGGTCTTAATTTTACCTTTCCAGAAGTGCATCATGTAACTTAACTTTGCCAAAGTTAGCATCTGCTGATGCCAGTATAAGTTCGAGGCAGGGCAGATCTCTCTTGCTCACCTTTACATTTCCGGGAAATATAAGGATTGCAGAAGGACATTTGATAACGAAACCGCTAGCAGGTCAGTTAAATAGTCCTGTAAATATCAATGCTAAATGGATAAAAGCACAGCCAGACCAGAAATGTCTATGTTCCTTAACAATATATAATAATCTAAGCTGACTCATTCAGGATAGGATATTAATTGGTTACAGCAGAGCCTGGGGGTTCAGAAAGGAGGGTTGCACTGACCTCACCTGTATTTGGCTTTGTAAAGGTTGGTCTAAGTGCATCATCTTCAGTTCCATCTATAATCACTGCAGAGGGGTGAGTGGGATGCATCGTATCCTGGCTATGTGCTCATCTGTTGATAAGAAAGGACGCCTGCATGACCAGTATCAATTCACTGCCAAAAGTTTAGATGGTTAGTGAGATGAATCCCATTTTAGACTGTTTTCTTTGATCTTTTTTCAAGGTCCTTCATTCTTGATGCATCCTAGAATCTGAATCACTTTATGGATGTGACCGTTTACTCCAGATGACGTCTGGGGTGACTCTGGTACCGTGATTCCTAGACTAAGATGACAAGCTCTGCCAAAATTCAATTGTGTTTTAGTTTTAGTTGAGACCAGTTAAACAGTGACCTTGTAACATTACCACATTTTAACATTATCACCAGTAATTTGAGAGATTTCTAGTGAAAGTAAGAAAAAGAACCTTTCTGCCCCCAGAAATACTCCATAGTTAAGCACATGTAGCTGTTTCCTCCTATTTTCAGCTGTGGTTCATGTTCGGAAATCCAGGCAGAGAAAGCCTAGAAGCTGCTGAGTGGTCTTTGACGAGGACCTGCAAGAGGTATCAGATCAAAATTTAGGTGTAAAAATCAAAGATAAACCAAATTCCCCCCTTATTAAAGATATATACATATTTATTGTTTTCTTTTGTTATCTCATGGTGCTGCAAAGCTTTTCTGAATCAGAAATACATCCAAAGCAACTGACTTGGAACAATTCCTACACAACACCATGAATGCAAGGAAATTTTATTCATTAGGAAACTTACCTACTAGGGAAATATTTGGTTTATATTCCTGGATGAAGGAAATGTTTCTTTTGAGGAATGTCACGGATTTTATATCTTCCTTTTGGACACGGGAGACCGTAATGTTCTCTAGGGAAGAGTAGAGCAAACAATTAAAGTGCTGCTGGTGTTTGTCTCAGTGTGGAAATGTTCCAGTGAAACGATGTGCTGTAGAGGTGTTGTACACACTCTTGAAATGCTTCTAGTATTTCTTTTGACTGGAGTCCCACACAGAGTGGGGGACAGTCTTAAGCTTCAAAACAGCATTGAAATGAGAATGGCCATCTTGGCAAATGGAGTCCCAGACCGTGAGCTGGAGTCAAGTCACTGTGACCTTGAAGCAACAGCTTTCAGGGAAAAAGACTTTCAAATGCACCTCAAAATGATTGTGACAATTTAGAAAATGCAAATCCAGAGGCCATCAGAACTTCTGGTAACAGGATTGTGTTCATATCAAATTATGAACAATATCAACAATATCATATCAACAATTATATCAATAATGTAGGGACCTTAGCTATCATGCTAGCTAAGGTCCCTACATTATACAGAAATTACACACCGGGGGAAGATTTAGAGCAATTTAAGTTGTTACTTTACTACTTACATTAAGCAGTAGTTAATCTTATTCATTAATACAAATTTTGTTTAGCCACAACCCCCCCTGCCCGTCCCAGCCTGGATAATGGAGCAGCAGGACCAGAAGCAGGACCAGCTTCCATGCTACTGAAGAAAGGTGCTGCCTCTCAGATCAACATCCCCACAAAAGGCAGGGGCCATGCCCACAATGAGGACAGGAGCTGGTCCTGTGCCACAGCGCCTATCAGCAAGGCAAGGCTGGAGCTGAACCAGAAGGTCCACAGCAAGCTCTGGATCCACACAGCAAGAAAATGCCTGGAGATAAAACTCCAAACTCTCCCCAAGGCAGTGCAGAGGTCCATGGGCATGTCGCAATGCTCAGTGCCCAGATGGAGGAAGGCTGGGGCTGGGCAGCTGCAGCCCCGCAAGAGCTCTGCCATTATGGCAAAAGCAAAGCAGCTCAGGCAGAAGGAATGGGTCCTGCAGCAGCAGGTTCAGGCATCCCTCACCTGCACTCTGGTCCCCATGACACCGTGCTCCTGCCTGTATTGTGTCTCCTCCTACGGCCCCTTTCCAGGGACGGAGAGCAGCCAGGCATTCCTGGAGGCCAGGACCCTGCCCAGCACATCCTGCAGCTCTGGGAAGGAGATGGCCACAGACACCAAGGATGTGCCAGGGCCACCCTGTGGGATGGTGAAGGACTCGCCAGGGCCAGCATCCACCCTTGTGTCCCTAAGCCTTGTCCCAGCATTCCCTGCTATGGACACCAAGCCAGAGAAGGCACAGGGAGCACACATGTGTTCAGCCCATGAAGGCTTCATGGCACAAGCACGAGGAGCCCTACAGAGCCATTGTGGCTGCTGCAGGAAACAAGCTTGACCTGCTGATGGCAGCTTCCCAGGTGGGACAGCCCCTCTGGAGAGCACCATGAGCAGCACCAGCAGGGAAGGGAACACCGCATCCAAGTGTTGGGGGAGTGAACCAAGCCAGGACAGGCAGAAGTGGTGGTCATCGAGGAGGCAGAGCCTTGGCAGCGCCGAGAGCTCCTTAAGCTGTGGGACATGGTCCCAGGGCACCTCCTGGAGCACAGAGAGGCAAAGCAGATGGAGTCCTGATGGCCTCTCACAGGGAAGCCCACCTGAGATGGCTCCAAGCTCAAACTCCTGCTGCCCAGAGGGGATCCCCAGCCAGCACAGGCCATCCTCGCAGCAGCACCTTGAAAAGAAAGCAAGAACAAGTCCCTGTGACATTTAAGGCATACAGCCTGTCTGGGTTCAGCAGTAGCATTTTTTTCTCCTTAGTAGCTTGTGCAGCGCTGTGTTTTTGACAGGGCACCTGACCCAAACTAGCCAAAGAGGTATTCCATACCACAGCACGTCATGCCCAGGATGTAACTGAAAGGGCTAGTTCACTGCGGGGTTGGACCAGGTATCAGTCGGTGCTTGGTCAGGCGGGGTGTGGCTAGTTATTGGTTGGCGGGTGGTGAGGTGTTGTATTCTCTTCCTTTGTTATTTCCTTTATCATTATTATTATTGGTGGTAGCAGTAGTGATTTGTGTTGTACTCTAGTTACTAAACTGTTCTTATCTCAATCCTGGGAGTTACGTTCTTTCGATTCTCCTTCCCACCCCTCCAGGAGCCGGGGCGAACAAGAACAGGGGAGTGTTTGATTTATGTCTGACTGGGTTTAAACCACGACAAGCCAAAGGAGACAGAGCATCTCTAAAGCCAAAATCTTGTCTTTCCCTTTTAATTTTGTGGTCCAAACTGTTCTGCTGTAAGAAATACCCTTCAACTTTGTCTCTTGTCCCTTCTCCCTGTCAAATAACTATCACCAGAAGCACCAGAGGAAGGTGTCAGGAAAACTAGAGCAGGTATATGTAAAGATAGAGCATGGTATCCATAACGAGACTAAATAAGAGGCCTTGTCTAGCAGTAGGAGAAGGCAAAAGTTACAGGATGACCCACTGCAGGCCTCTCAGCAGGCCTGAACTCCAACATCAGCGAAGTCATTAAACCAATTGCCATCACAAATTACACTTTTTCCCTTCCCAAAACAAGGAATTCCTCTGGGGGGCAGGCTTCTGGGCATCCTAAAGAAGCCTCTAATGATCTTGAAACCTTCTTAGAAAGCTCAAAGTAAACCTACCTCATTCTTCCTAACAAGCCCCTGGGGACAACTTCATAGACATTAAGGAGAAGGAAACTTTCCTCTTTGTTAAAGGCAAGAGCGCTTCTAAAGCAGTTCGGTTTGGCACAACTCCTCCACACCCTGAAGCTGGTGGGTGGAGAGTTTATGGATTGGCAGACTCCTTTCCAGTCCTCCTCCTGGTCGGTACAGTAGTGACCCCTGGAGTTTGAAGGAAAGAGCAGCCACCCCTGGCAAACAACAACTGATTGGCAGAAGTCACTTGGCATCTTAACAGCAAGTTCTTTGGACATCACAAGGGGTCCATAAACAGCCACAGCTGTGGCAGGTGATGCGCTAGATTCAGGGTTTATCAGTCAGAAGCAAAAGGTGATGTGGCTGAAGACAAAATACAATGTACATACATTTCCCTGTCTAGAAATAAAACTACCTACAGCTCAGGTCCAAGGTGCATCCAGGAGACAGATGCAGCCAGACACACTCCTACAATGAGGGGTCCTAGTCTATGGCAGAGGAGGAGTATGATGTGCTGAGGGAAGAAAACACTGGGCGAGGCTGATCAGGACTTATTGTTGCCATCAGGGTCCTGACCTACATGAACTACTGATTCTGGGGATGCTAACTGTGCTGGTGTTTCTCAGGTCGTTTCTGCTGCCTTGGGGCTGAAGTCTCTGAGGTGATCTCCTCCATAGACAGTGCTGTCTGTAAAAGCATACAAGGTTCATAGAATCATAGGCCATAGAATCAACCAGGTTGGAAAAGTCCATTAAGATCATCAAGTTCAACTGCTCCCCCAGCACCTTCAAGACCACCACTAACCCATGGCACTGAGGCCTCGAGTCGGCGGTGTGTGACTGTGACTGCAGGGCTACCCTGGGCAGCCTGTTCCAATGGCTGAGCACCCTCTGGGGAAGGAATTGTTCCTCTTCTCCATCTAAACCTGCCCTGGTGCAGCTTGAGGCCCTTAACTCTTGTCTTGAGAGCATCAGTCCCTCCAAGAACGTGACTGTGACGCTCCTGACTCCTAGATGGAGGAGCCCCTATGGAGGTGAGGTCTGTTTGCTCCCTCGACCACATGTGTGCTGGCAGAGTCTCTTCAGCCCTGAAGATGCACGTGGCTCAGAAAGTCCTGGAGATAGAGCTGGGGGCCCTGCCCGTGCTGGTGCCGATGCAGCAGTCCCAGGAGCAAGCAGCACAGCAGCAGGGCTGCTTCCATGTCCTGGCATTGTTCAGGGCCAGGCTGGACAGAGTCTTGGGTGGCATGGTCTAGTGTGAGGTGTCGCTGCCATGGCAGGAGGCTGGAACTGGATGATGTTAAGGTTCTTTCCAACCCAAAACATTCTATGATTCTATGTATGTCCAGAGGCAAGTATGTAAGGTCCTACAGTTTTACTGCTTCTGAACTTGAGACATTCCTCCCAGTATGAAAACTCATCCTAACTACTTTTAGGCATCTAAAAGTTAGCCGGGTTCTTTTAGCTATCTTTTTAGCTATCATTGGCAAGAAATGGACACTTCCAAAGATGGTTCATCCCATTGTAAAATAAGTTTAAGGAAAATGGCATGTTTTGCTTTCTGCAGGTCTCTCCCTCCTTACACTGACTACAGAAGAAGCCCCAACAGTTAGATTAGTCTTACCTGGTTGAATTTTATGCTGCTGAAATTTGGTGAAATTACCCCAAACAGAGTCTATCTTCCTATTGCCATAGCCTGTTCCCCAGCACTTACACAGAACACAGGCAGAAGCTCTGGGCTAAAGAGTTCAGGGAGGACATCCCTGAGGCAAGACACTAGATCTTGAGCAAAACAATCACATGGGAGGAAAGCAAAACACCACGGCAGAACTGATCTTTAACTTTCCTATTTCAAACTGTCATTGATGAGATGGGAAAGCTCCACAGAGGCTTGCAGTAGCCAGTGATGGATATGCTTAGACCTTCCAAATCTCTGGCGAGAGGCTAAACCATGACACATGAAAGGGATGAAATGGATGCTCTGCTTTGGGGGGAAATGATGGGCGAAAGCCAGTCCAGAATAGGGGAAATTATCATGTTTGCTTTGTTATTCACGCCTCTGCTTTATCATTTGATATTGGTAATATGGGGTTCATCAGTCAACGTAAACCAATTAAAAGTTACTCCTCTAAGCTTAAACTTCTACTGCTCTAGTAATCAATGTAGAGAAATAATCACTCAAATTCCAGGAAGTATCCAGAGTGCAAACATCTATATATAGGCTGTGGACGCTGCTTACCTGAGTTTAGGAGAGGACTTTGTGTCTCTCTTCTGCTCTGGCTGTGCTTTCAGGGACAAGTCATCTCTTAATCAGCCGTCTAGTATTAGTCTCAGAGGACCACAGACTGAATCAGTAAAAATACAACTTAATGGTCCAATAGGGAAGACTGGCAGTGATGTGAACTACCTTTAGA